ATTCGTATATCATATATGTTCACTATTCCTTAGCAGCCTTCCAATTTAGGTGCAAGTCGCAGACGCCAACCTCATGGCAGGAGCGGTTGCGGCGTGGGAGCTTCCAAGAAATTGTTTGACCTGGTTAACAATCCTAAAACTCAGGAGCAGCTCAGCTCCAAGTTTGTTTGTGAATGGCATTTCAATCCTCCAAGTGCACCCCACTTTGGCGGACTTTGGGAGGCTGCGGTCCGCTCGACCAAGTCGTTGTTAGTTCGTGTGTTGGGCAATCAGGTGTTATCATTAGAAGAGTTTTCCACTGTGCTTTGTAGGATAGAGTCTGTCCTAAATTCCAGACCTCTTACCGCTTCGTCTAATGACCCAAATGACTTAGAGTGTCTCACCCCGGGTCATTTTCTTATTGGTAGACCGGTATGTGCGGTACCTGAGGCAGAGGTCCTTGACAGTTCGTTAAGCCTCAAAAATCGTTGGAAGCTCCTCCAGCAGCTGTCTCAGTCCTTTTGGCGCAGGTGGTCCAACGAATATTTAAATACCCTACAAATTAAGGCTCGTTGGGTAAAGGGTCAAGAAAATGTTAAGTTAGGTGACTTAGTTGTTATTAAAGATAATTTATCCTCTCCACTAGTATGGAAGTTAGGCAGGATTCAGCAACTCCTCCCGGGCCCAGATGGGGTCGTGCGAGTAGTTAGGCTGCTCACCAACCAAGGTCTTATTACAAGACCAGTTGTGAAGATAGTTCCTCTTCCTACGCAATAATATACCAGTAAGATACTATTTTTTGATGACTTATGTTAGTTATTTGTTATTATTATAATTATTTTCAAGCTTGACATATTAATTGTTCATTAATTTTATCCTAACGGCAAGATCCGCCTTCACTAGTTTTCATATTTCCTATATTCCTTGCTTGCTTGTATAACGATTGTGTTATCTGCGAAGTGCTACCGCCGAGCCGCTGCTGCTGTGGGTGTGGCTCGGTGACTTCGCCTAACGGGATAGCTTGCAAGGGTTAGTTTATTTTATTATTATTATGATACATTATTTAATTTATTTGTTTTGTGTTGTTATATGAAATTTAATCACATAACTATTTTATTTGTTATATCTTTATCAATTGTATTCTTTTGACAACTGGTCATTATTATTAAAAAAAAAAAAAATGTATTTTTCCCGGAGACCAGATAATCTCTATCGTCATCACTGATGCTCCAGTTCGGTTAAAGACAACAAGGCCAACTTTGTCCTCGAAGTCGTTGCAACGTTACTCTGCGCAAGTTCTGCAGACAACTTCAGTTCCGGTAGATCACCGCTCCGTCATCATGCCAGTCAGCTCGAAGATCCTGTTGAGATACACCCCTATGTATCTCAAGGGGGA